TCAAAGTAACCTGTGTGTATACTCTCTGCAAGTCATAATTTTTTAAAAGTCAGATTAGAAATCATTCTTTGAGGGAGCAGCTTTAGAAAAGGCTTGATCTGATCTATCAAATTTGGACCATAAAACCAAATGGACTTAGTCCACTAGTATTTAAGAAAGTGATGTCTGAGGTGAATAATTACAAGTCTACCAATCTTCTTCATGATGAAGAAGGGTAGCCACAAGAAACCTACCTGGAAAGCAAACAAAACACCTAAAATTGGATCTAATTCAGAGCAGCAAACAATTTTAATGTTTATGAAGACTGCCTGGATTTGACGTTCAGAAAATTCAGTTGAGAATGGCATTAAATATTATCCTAAGTATTGGAGTTAGGCTGGGTCAAAACAGACCATACATTTTGAGAAGACTCCAAAAATTTCCTCAGCTTAGTTCTATGGGACAAAGCGTTAAAAAATCCCTGAGAAACATGCCAGCATCTGCCCTCAACTCCAGAAGCAGGAAGCAAAAATGTGACCCAATCACATGATATCAAACCACAGTCCATCTGTTCAGAACTCTGTTATGTAAGCCATGACCAAGGAAGAAGAGCCAAAGGCAAAAGGTTTGTCGACATTTGCAAGGGGCTCTGTGGTTTGAAGAGACATATTTTCACATCAAAAGGGCCATCCACAGGATAACAGCATTTTCAAAACTCAATTCATTACACATGAACATATTTGATGCAATAAAATGACACTATTAGAATGGTGTTGAGTCCCTGTAACTGTTCAACTAAGGCCTAGAACCTTTCAACAGGGGTCTTCCCCACATGAGCAGTCCTTGTGAGGAAGACCCCTGTTGAAAGATAAAGAACAAGATTTATCTTCCTTTTGATCATTTTTATCATGTCAATTCCTCACTTAATTTCAACAACAAAGAGACCATCTAATATTCTAAACCAAGGCCTTTTAATTACACCCAATTCCATTAACAGTTACCCAAGACCATCTTCCAAACTACTATAGGCCTGTGTTTCTCAATCAGTAAGTATTATACCAGGTCCTTTTATTGGCAATTAAAAAAAAAAAAAGAATCCTGACCTTTCCCTTGAGGACTTTTAGCCTTTAATCATTCCCCCTCCCTTCCACCTTTAGAATTCACTTTTCATAAATTGTGTGAAGTGCAAGGCCTATTTCACTTAGATAAGTCACTCCATTAACCCCGTCTCATGCCCACCTCCAAGTCCTTCACCTTTTAAAGCAGCATATAGGGAGGGCACAAGACTTGGAATCAGAAAATCAAAGTTTCTGTCTCTGTTCTGCCCCTGTGCCACCCTAAGAAATTCACCTAATCTGAGTAGTTTTTTCATCTATAAATTGAAGTGACAATATACTTTGGACTTTCACCAATTGAATGCCTAGCCCTACTGGGCATCCTATAATGTTATTCTCTCTCTGTCACTTACTCCACTTTGATTACTTTTATGCTTTGTTTCCAGCCATGTACTATAGCCTTTAGGATTGGGGAAAAAGTGATAGAGGTTAATACATCCAAATCCCACAGTAAAGAATAAGGAACCTAACTTTGAAGAGTAACTTGCCAGTCAGTAAAAGCTTTGTTTCCTCCCTTGGAGTGGACCCCAGTACAGTTGGAGACACACTTTTACAGAACTTTCACACTCATCAAATCCCCCTCTGAATTGTACCCACCCTTCAAAGTCAGTTGAAGTCCTAAACTGTCCAGGAAGCCTCCCCCAATCACTCCAGCCTACACTAATCATCTCCCTTTTTGAATACTAATGCCTCCCTACAGGGATGACATTAAAAATATTTAACAACTGGCACTACAAGGGTACCAACCAACCAGAAAGGATGTTTAACCAAAACACACATGGCCCAGTGGGAACTGCTTGTTGAACATCAGTCCTGCTCCTTAGCAGCAATACAGAATAGCAACCTCAAACTCAAATACCACTTTCTCATGTGATCTTCACAATCTCATGAATTAGGCAAAAGTAGGTACTGCCCCTATTTTCTGCATAACTGGTGGTGAAGGTGGGACTAATAACCAATTGCCTTCACCACACCATACAACATTTCCTGATTATTTATACGGAATTATAAGTTAATATTGCATAAACTGGACTTAGATAAAACAGTGTAAATACTAAAGGAATGCTTAAATAGAAATCAACAAGCATCTATGTGGAATAGAATATAAAACACAGTGCTAAGTTCTGAGGCCATAAAGGAAAGAAATGGCATGATACCTCGTCCTCTAGGTTTCTATAACATATTCAAGTGTAGCTAAGCAGCAGTGCAGACGGTAGAAATGGACAACGCAAACTGTAAGTGTTGCAGAGTTCTGGAAGACAAAGAATTCAAGAACTAAACCAGTACAGGAAGTCAGGACTGAGAACTTCTTACGCTCCCAAAAAAGGGGCAAAATTAAATGTGTAGTGAGAAGGCTGAACAGTCAGGAGTCCGTGAGAAACAGAAATTGCTTGAAGGTTTGCAGTAATGAGAAGTGAGGTCCCCGGTAGAATACTCAGAGATGGCCCCAATCACAAGCTGCTGAAGTGTTTCTCTAAGTGCTGAATATAAATGGGAAATCACATAAACCTTTACGGGGATAGCTGAGGAAGATTAGTTTGGCAGTAGCCCATAGAAAAGCTTAGAAGAGAGAAACATGGGAAAGCAACTAGATTTGGAGGATAACAGGCAGGATTAAGCTGAAGGCTGCATACCAAGAAAGGAGGAGACATTCAAGAGGCATTAATAGAAACAAGAGTTGGATTTAGAGCATCTTTTCAAAGAAAAAATGCTATGAAATGGCAGAAAGGAAGCAAACAGCATTCTCACAAGGGATATTCATATAGACACGGTAGTACTAAACCGTGTACTAGTGACAAGGAATCAATTTTCCTAGAGAAATCTATGTTGAAGAGAGAGGTTGGGCAGAGAACAATAAAACATAATCAGAAAATAAGACACTGCAATCTTTAAAAGGGAAGCCAAATTATAGAGAGAAAAAAAAAGCATTTGACCTTTTTCAGAATGTCTTTTAAGGGTGGACTGAGACATCATCATAACCAGCAAGAAAGATAGAGAAGCTGAGGCAGTCTAGGCTTAGAGTAATACATACCTGGACAGTTTTATACTGTGTACATGCCATAGAGACTGTAAACTCCCCCAGGACATGAGCTGAGCAATGTTCTGTATATCCAACTAAGTCCACTACTATTACTTGAATACATGAACACTTTCTGTGCTACTTTTGGTGGAAAAGAGTGCACCATGTTATTCAAGCTAATAGTGGTGTGGAAATGTTACCTATGTTTCATGCCTAACTATATTGATTCTCCCAATCTGTCCACACAGTTATCTTGCCTTCCTCCCTAGGCCAATGTCAAAAATCCATTGTTTCCTCTAACGCAGGCCCACGGGAAGGGACTCAGGAATGTGCTAAGAGTCAGAATGAAGCCTATCTGATATTCATATCATGAAGACAGAATCTAAAAGTGAATAATAAAAACCAGTTGCTCATCAGACGACTGAAGAAGAAAAATGGGCTATGCCAGGTAGTATGATGTATATATGTTTGTGTGTGTGTGTGTGTGTGTATGTGTCTGTGTGTGTGTATATATATATATATGATGCACAGGTTTTGGAAACAGATCTGAGTGAAAATTCTAGCTTTAGCACTTAGTTACTGCGTACTTAGGCAGATCCAGGGGTCTGCACCCTACTTTTCAAATCTGTAAAGTGGGGCAAATGCCACAAGTCCTGAGAGTTTAGTTGTGGTGATTAATGTTCGTATGCAATAGTGTACTTTATGCATTTACATCATGGTAATGCATAATACATAGACGGAAGCTATGAGGACTAATTGTAATCGTCTTCAGTCTTGATTTTTAAAAGAATTTTCAACATTTTTTGTACAGTTTCAGAAACAGAAATGTAATTTCATCGCATTTTAGTTGCTAAGACTGAGGCTCTGATTTTAGTTTATACTGCCTTAATTCAGCTGCTAACAAAGTTTTCCACTCATCCCTTTGTTGCCAACCACCTACCCCGACCTGATTTAATACTTTGAAAAACCCAGTGAACATTCTTCCTTGAAAACCAGGTACCAGATAGATATATGATTCAAACTATTAACTGTCATTCAAGAAAACACCGCAAGTGATGTTCCTTCTAGGAAATAAAAGCGTTTAATCAATTCACAGTCATTCCCCAAATTTCCAAACCCTGCAGAGTGAGCAAACGTTCAAGTTTCCACTACGAAAACAATCCGTAGCCTTCTGGTTACTGGACTCACTTCAACACTCCTCAGACGCACGAAAGAAGGAATACTCCGCGCATCTCCACGCTTCCTCCCTCTCACACAAAGCCCCCCTGGCTGAAGAAGCAGCCCCTTCCAGCAGGGTCGGGCCGGGCGGGAGTCAGGGCAGCCTGCAGACCCGGGGGTCTCACCACATGTCGACCCCGACTCCCACCGCGGGAAGCCCTCGCGGATCGGAGCTCACACCCCGCCCGGGAGCCGCCTTCCCCCGAACCCCAAAACCCGCCCGGGACCCCGAGACCACGCCGTTCCCTGGGGGGCGGCGGCGGGCAGCCACCGCTCTGCCAGTCCCCGCCGGTCTCGCATCCCCCGCCCCTGGCCCTAGCCCACTCACAGCCCACAGGGCAGCCCCGGCCCGCGGACGACTCCGCCCGACTCCACCTCCCCGGGGGAGTCCCGAGCCGGACGGCCTCGGGCTGCCCGGCACGTTCATCCGTGCCCGGACACACGCCCCTGCCCCGCCTCCGCTCCCCGCTTGCGGTTCGCCCGGCGGCCGCCGAGCCGCGCGGGGCCACGAAAGCCCGACCCGGGCCCCGGCGCTGCCACCTGCGCCCCCGGCCCCGCGCCATGTTTGAGAAAGAGCAGTAGCTAGCCGAAGGCCGGGCCCGGCCCGCGCGCCCCGCAGTCGCCCTCCCTCCAGCCCGCCCGCCGCGCCGCGCCGCGCCGCCGCTCACCCGTCGCCCCCGGGAGCAGAAGCGCCGCCGCCGCCGCTGCCGCCGCCAGCACAAGGAGGAGCAGTCGGGGACGCGGAGCAGCGGCCGCCGCCTCCATGGTCCCGCCGCCACCGCCTGTGGCCCGGCCCGGCCCGGCCGCCGCCTCACCCCAGCAAACCTCGCCTCGCCCCACCTCCCCCGCCGCCGCGGCGGCCCCGCTCCGGCCCTTTGTAACTGCTCGGGGGACGTGCGTCCATTGGCTGCCGGGCTCCCGCCGGCCCCGCCTCCCCGCCGCCGCGAGCGGCCGAGCGGGACCCAGCCGGGAGCCCCGCCCGCGGGCCCACCGGGCAGCCAATCCGCGGCCGCGCGCCCCGGCCTCTGGCCACGCCCCACGCTCCCCGGGGGCCGGGCCGCCAGACCCCTGCCCCGGCCAGAGCTGCTCCCGGCTCCGCGAGGCCGTGTGGGGGCGGGATCTGCCAGACCGAGCGCCGCCGAGCCGCTAGCCCCGGAGGGCCGGGTAGAGCGATGGGTGTGTCTGTGTGAGTCGCTTTCGGAAAAAGGCTGTGGCCGCTCGACTCTCTTTTCTTCTAACCTCCTCTAGACGCGGAAGATCTCGCACTGCCCCAGCCCCACGCTGACCCCATTCACTGCCCCGCACCGGCAATCCCAGCACAGGCCGCTCAGATCCGCTGCAGCGCCAGGCCCTGCATGCACTTCAACTTCCCCTCTCTAAGTCCACGCATCAACTTCAGCATTTCCCCGAAGATCCTTCCTCGGTGCCCTTCACATGCGACTCCGTCTCCTGTTTCCTCCTGCTGGCAGCCGTCATCCCGAACCTAGCTCCCCCACCCAATTCTAAACCTAGGAAGTCCTCAGATCCCAGCCGCAGACCCAGATCGTGACCCCAAACACACCCGCGAATAGCCTCCCGCCTCACTCCGGAACAGACACAGGATGGGGATCCGAGCCGCTCTCTCCTCATCCCCCTTCCTGATCCAGGTTGGAAAGGGGGGTCCCCACCGCAACCCCTCAAAGGAGGCGTTCCCCCTTCTTAGCACCCAGCTCCCGCGGGGTGGAGGGGCAGCAGTCATTACTTTGAGCTGCGTCTGACACTCCTGTACAATAATCCTGAGGTGGTGTCACTAAAAACCCAAATAAACTCTACGTTTTCATTCTGAATTCCTAATTTACTGCGAGACGCTCCACCCACCTTTCCTCCGCGACGCCAAAATGAGCTCCAGATTTGTAATTCTTCCTGTCAGACTAGTCCTTTCTTCAGACGCAAACACAGTCGAGGAGGCTGTTACGTAGAACAGAGAATATTTGCCCGCAGAACCTTTTAAGGAGAAAGTTTTATTTTCTGTGTCATTTGAGCTTGGAATTAAATAAACCTTGATAGCAGGAATCAGAACCAGCCTCTAATGTCAACTTGTGTACTACTTCAGAGTCACTGGGTGAGCATTTTCCCCACCTGTGAAGGTTTCCTTCCTGGAAATGAAAAGGGAAAGGGCGTGGATATTGGAGCTGGGATCTGAGACCCGCGCGCTTTCTCCCTCCTGGCTGGGACACTTACTTCGGCAGGTCAGCTAACCTTTGAGTCTCCAGCAGGCTCAAGAGGCCTAAAACTTGCTCTAGACCGCAGCGCCAGCAGCCTCAGCAGCGAACTCCCCTCTTGATCAGACTGAAGGATTCCAGAGAGACGGTTTCTGGCAGGCTCCAGTCCCAGTAAGCCCTCCCAGTTCCAGTTTCTTCAATGGAGACTTGGTGGGCTTTGTGCCACCTGAGGTCTCTAGATTGTCTTTTTGCTGCTCTATTTGCAATGTCTTGCATAAGATAAAAGCTAATGAGATTTTTATTGTATGAATGAATGAATGATCTCAGAAAGTGACTGTTTTTCTTTGGCCTCTAGCTTCCTCATCTCTAAAATGTAAATAATAATAGTACCTACCCCGTTTATAAATGAAAAGGATTGAATCACTTGTCTTGGGCTCCTTAGATGATGTAATGTGTCTGGTACAGTGTCTGGAACATAGAAAATATTTAGTTAATGCCATTTCTTTGCCCATCCCCTTCCAGCTCCGTATGACTCTAATCAGCATGTGTGTTCATGTTAGTCCATGCCCTTGACGTACAGAGCCTAGATTAATCAGTGTTAATCACACCTCCAGTTTCTTAACATTTTCCATGGAATTCAGTGGATTCAACAGGAAGGAAAAACAGACCGGTTTGTAAATTTTATCATCCTGATACTAGGAGGAAATTTCCATGAACCACAGATCCATAAACTACACTAGAATGGAACACTAAATTATTAGTTTAAAATTATGGTTCCCAAATCGTAAAGTCTCTCCAAATTACCTGGAGAGCTTTTAATAATGCAGATTCTTGGGTCTCAATGGACCCTAGCAAATCTGCTTCAGTTCTTCTGGAGAAGGTACAGGAATCTACATTCGTAATAGACATCATAGTTAATTCTGCTGCAGGTGGCACTAAGCCCGCTTCAAAAGACTGGTTTACTTAAAATTCAGTAAATAAAAATGCATGACCTTATTTGCCTTTTGAGAAAGGTTGGATGGGCAGTGGAAAGAAGCCTCTGGCTTTGGAGGCCTGCAGACCCTACTTGAAATTCTGGCTCTGCCACTCAGTAGATGTGGGTCTGTGAACACTATTTGATCACTCTGAGATTTAGCATCCCCGTGATAAAGGGAGGTATTGTTATGAGGTCTAAATGAGCCATTGCACATAAGGAATCTATCATAAGTGTTAATTCCTTTCAGTCTTTACAGACTTACTTGTTGTTTAAAAGGATTCCCTGTTATTTACTTCAATGTCTTGATTTAAAGAGGGAGAAACTTAGATCAGTTCCCCAGCAAGTCAACTGCAGAGCTAGTACTAGGAGTCTCACTCCAGTGCCTTGTACCCTATGTAATGTTGCCTCTTAATCTTTATGCGAAGGACATCATTTGCTTTTCCTTTTGGATTATTCTCTTATGTAAGATGTTTTTGCCAAAATAGAGAGCAGAGACTGCTAGTCATCTAAACTATACCCATTCCTACATTTGCTTTATAATGGAGTCCTGATTTTCTCTGGGAATGCAGTTCACCTAGAAAAATACACATATGAATTCCCCAGGCTCCTTGTACCTAGGTATTGCCATGTGACAGAGTTCTGGCCAGTGAAATGGAAACAGAAGTCTACTTTCCACAAGGTGGAGCCTGTACATATTTCCCAGTTAAAAAAAGAAAGAGACATCATATTCTCTCTGCCTGGAACACGGTTGCAATGCTTGGAGGTACAGCAGCCATTTTGTAAACATAAGGGTGATAGCCAAAACTTAGGACTGTAGAGAGAAAACCTGGAGAGAGTCTAAGTTTCTGATAAATTTCCCGAACAGCTGCACCAGCTCCAGTAATGCTTATTTCTTATTATATGAGAAAAATAAACCTCTTTTTTTTCTTTTTTTTTAGACAGAGTTTCACTCTTGTTGCTCAGGCTGGAGTACAATAATGTGATCTCAGCTCAATGCAACCTCCACTTCCTGGGGTCAAGCGATTCTCCTGCCTCAGTCTCCCGAGTAGTTCGGATTACAGGTATGTGCCACCACACTCAGCTAATTTTGTATTTTTAGTAGAAATGGGGTTTCCCCATCTTGGTCAGGCTGGTCTCGAACTCCTGACCTCAAGTGATCCTCCCACCTTACAGGCATGAGCCACCATCGTGCCTGGCCAATAAATCTCTTTTTTATTCACCTTAGAACGTTTCAATTCTATTCATTTGCCCATCCTATTTGTTGTTGCATATTTTATTTCTATCTTATTTTCTTTTTTTTCTTTTCTTTTTTTTTTTTTTTGAGATGGAGTTTCGCTCTTGTTATCCAGGCTGGAGTGCAATAGCGTGATCTCGGCTCACCGCAACCTCCGCCTCCCGGATTCAGGCAATTCTCCTGCCTCAGCTTCCTGAGTAGCTCGGATTACAGGCATGTGCCACCATGCCCAGCTACTTTTTTGTGTTTTTAGTAGAGACGGGGTTTCACCATGTTGATCGAGAGGATGGTCTTGATCTCTTGACCTCGTGATCCACCCGCCTCGGCCTCCCAAAGTGCTGGGATTACAGGCTTGAGCCACCGCGCCCGGCCTTCTATCTTATTTTCTAACCTACAAGATATTATTGACTTATACCATTATTAGCTATTGCCAATTCTTGGTGCTTCTAACTGAATAACAAATCACCTCAAAATTTAGTTATCCATGATAACCAGGGATCATTTTTCATAAGACTGTAGGTAGGCTGGACAGCTTTTTAGGTTTAGGCCAATTTATGCTGATTTTAGCTGAGCTCACCTGTGAGTCAGCCGTCAGGTGGAAGAGGGTAATGAGCTAGATCAGCTCCTCCATGTTGTTTTCCACCCTCCAGCAGGCTAGCCTAAGCTTGTTAACATGACAGTTCAGAGGTCCAAGATAATTAATGAAAGTGTGCAAGACCCTGGAGTCTCAGGTTTAGAACTATCATGGACCAGGCATGGTGGCCCATGCCTGTAATCCCAGCACTTTGGGAGGCCAAGGTGGGTGATGGCTTGAGCCCAGGAGTTTGAGGCCAGCCTGGGTAACATGGCAAAACCTCTTATCTACAAAATAATGCAAAAATTACCCAGGTGTGGTGGCTCATGCCTGTAGTCCCAGCTACTCGGGAAGCTGAGAGTTTGGAGGATCGCTTGAGACCAGGAAGTCAAGGCTGCAGTGAGCCATGATCACAACACTGCACTCCAGCCTGGGCGACAGAGTGAAACCCTGTCGCAAAAAAAAAAAAAAAAAAAAAAAAAAAAAAAAAAAAACAAACCACTGGCACATCACTTCTACCACATCCCATTGGTTTGACCATTAACTGTGGGTGAGCCCAGATTCAAAGGTTAGGGGAAAAGACTCAATTTTTTTTTTTTTTTAATATATAAAGGAACTGCAAAATCACATTACAAAGAGGCAAGGATATCAAGAGAAAATAAGTGTGTACATTTTTACAAACATTTTTTAACCACTTTCTCTGATCTCCATTTCTTTTTACCTCTCACACTTTCTACCTCAAATTACTGTTACTGTTATTCTTCCTGAAGTGTATCTTTTAAAATTTCTTTTAGCAAGAGTCTACCAGCAGCAAATAATCTTAGTTGTTGTTTGACTGAAAAGGTTTTTATTTAGCCCTCATTTTTGAACAATGTTTTTGCTGAAA